AACTATATTCTCCCAAGGTGAATCATGCATAAGTTGAGATTCGATTTTGATGGTCAGCGCAAGGCTTTACGTAGAATATCAAACACGAAAGACCGTGTTTGACCACATTTCCAAACACCGAGAAGAGAGTTGAAAATACGACGCGCAGCGAGTTTGACGAACTACGAGGTGTTTGGAAATGTGGTCAAACACTGTCGTGGGTGTTTAATATATCTCCTCAATCGATATCGAAACTAAAACTGAGGAGAAAACGGAGAAATAAAATAGGCCATTTTACAGTTGTGTGTGCAGTTACCTGGCCTTTGAATGCAGCGAGGCTGCAGGTGACCTTGCCTTGATACAGACCTCTCTGCTTTTCTCATTCAAATGCCAACTAGTTAGCACGAGAACAACTTGATTTACACAACAACAGCAGTGAGGTCTGTATCAAAACAAGGCCAACTCCAGCGTCGCTGCCATTCAAAGGCCAGGTACGGAGCAAACAATTGTAAAATGGTCTATTGTTAAAATCTATGCTAAATAAGATCAGATATCCAAACACCGTCACGGTCATGATTTCCTTCGTTTAAACTTGATGAATTATTAATGAGTTTGAGAAATGTTATTGCAAATTCTTCCTTCAACCTGCAGATTCTCGTTAGTCAGCTTTATACATTCACTCCAGTATTAGGTATTAACTTGTGTTTAAAAATAGTCAAGAGTATCTCCTCTTTAACGATTATTTCGTGTTTTCCTTCTCGTAATGTTTTCTCTTGAGAGAAAATGTGACTCTGATCAGCGATCATAATGCTTTACCTTATCTGCGCTGCTTCCTGAGTCTTTGTAATACAAGAAGGAGGCTCCATCATTGCTGTATTTTAACTTGTAAGCGGTTACCCACTGGTTATGATTATTCCAGCCTTGTGTCGCTATACCCTTAACTGAGATTTCAGCTCCCAGATCGACTTGCAACCACTGACTGCGATTGCTAATACCAGCTGACCAGCCCCCTTGCTTGACTCCGCTGGCCTTGTAGTGCAGTCGTGCCTGCACCGCAGCGTGATGGCCAGTCGACCACCAGGAGGCAGAAATTTGAGCGTCAGAAATAAAGCGACTTTCCATTCCGAGAGGTTCCTGGCACGCTAAGAGATAAACCAAGATGGTCAATAGAGGGAGTGTATGTCACTACGCCTTGTATTGAAAAAGCTCTTAATTAAATCCAGTATATGTCCCTTGAGGCATTTGTTGACAACTGTCTTTTATATGCTTCTCACGTCTCTCAGAGAGCGGCTTGCATGTGCTGTACAGTATCGTATAAATTAGAGTTTAATTGTAAAATAACTGAGCTACTACGCGCGCTCTCATTGGTCGATAGGTGTGTTAAGATGAGGGCATGTAAACACGGTTGTGACGTTTTAGATTCGAGCGTACTTTTGAGAACTATTTTATAAAAGCAATAGAGCACTGTTTGCATAGCCTCATCTTAACACTCGGGGGGCTGGGAGAATTAGAGAAGAATTCTCCCAACCCTCCTTGTGTTTAGATGAGGCGGTGTAAACACGGAAAACGTGCTCTATTGCTTAATTGCAAAACGTAGCGTTGGCGACTGCATTTCACCCGTTCGTTTCCCGTCTTAAAACTTTCAGTCATGATTTTAATCATTTGAAATTTGATACAGCTCACCAATTTCGGGCGGATACCTCTGCAAAATGCTTTATTGTATTTAAGACTTCAGAGACGTTTGTGCGGAGATCGTCTCTTGGATATCATTTAATAATACATTGAGTACTTGCATCACAAATGCAAACAACAAATGAGGAACGAAGGAGTGAAACTCGCTCCACTCCTACAACTTAAGCGGTCAAAAAGGAGAGACTGGAACTAGAAATTTAGCGATATGCCTCTGTTTCAAAACGAGTCCAGGTTCAAAAACTTTAAATACGAAAATGAATTTAATTTGCTTGAAGATGACGACTTAGGCCGAGCCTCGTTATGAAACAGGCAAAGTGCAACTCGCTGCGCTTTCCATTCAATCAAAATTAAGTTCTGGTTTGAATTTCCCGATATTTCCAAACACTAAACTTCAGTCCACATTAAGGATGTACGTCCGCTCGTCTAGTTCTGTGTTTGTTTAAGGTCTTACTAGAAGTCTACCACTACTACTATACTAATGCTGCAATCTGATTGGCTGTGTCATCGTATACTGTCGGTCATTAGTGTGCAATGGCTAAAGGCTGATTGAAGTAAGCCTTTCGGCATCCCCTCTTATAGGGTGTTTTCTGAAAACATCCACAAAGGGCTCATCTTCAGCTCGCCTAAATAAATACCCGAATACAAACCGACCGGTCAAATTGTATTTATCACTACAATACGTCGTTTGTGTTGTCCAATTTACAAGTTTGTAATTATTCACTGTGGCAAATTAAAACACATCATATATAGCAATAGTTACCAGTGCAGTTTATTCCATCTCCACTAAATCCATCTTTGCATGTGCAGTTATAGGATCCACGGGTGTTGTTACAAACAGCATTAACATCACAGTTGTGTGTTCTGTTGGTACACTCGTCAATATCTAAAACGACAAAAGGAATCTAGCTGGAAAACGTTTAATTGAAACGGTGTGCTTACAAAAATTTCGCTCTGACAAAGTGTGCCTAATGTATAAGCTTACCGATACCTGTTGAAATCTCTCGCTTTTGAGTAACAGTTTCAACTGCGAGGCAAGCGATGCATTAGCCTAAACTGTGTTACAAATAGTTACCAGCGCAGTTTATTCCATCTCCAAAAAATCCGTCTTTGCACGTGCAGTTATAGGATCCCCGAGTGTTGTTACACACAGCATTAACATCACAGTTGTGTGTTCCTTTAGTGCACTCATTGATATCTAAGACAACAAAATTAATGTAAATGGAAACGTTTTATCGAAATGGTGTAGTCCGGAGACTTTTCTTTCCGAAACAGTGTGTCTCATTCTATGCTCATATATATAGAAGCTTACCCAGATCTGACTAAATTAAACCACACTGTGTTACGTACAGACAGTTAGTTACCTGTGCATGTTTTTCCATCTCCATAAAATCCTTCTTTGCATGTGCAGTGGTAGGATCCCCGGGTGTTGTGACACACAGCATCAACATTACAGCTGTGTGTTCCTTTAGTACACTCGTTTACATCTGAAGTAACAACAGAAACTTTATTGGCATTTAGTCGTCTGGCTCTGCTATGGATGTTCGTGTTTTCCCTCTAGCGCATCTAGCTTGGTTCTCTTGAACTAGTAGAGTTGAAGACCATATCTTACCCTTTTGACAATCATGACCAGTAAATCCGGGAATACACAAACATTGGTAATCTCTGTCTGTAAAACCGGCCTGGCAGGTTGCGTTGTTCTGGCAAGGTTTCTTTGCACAAGCATTCTTCAAAGAAAAGAAAAGAAAAGAAAACGATTATTTGGTGACAGCTAAAGGGAGACAGCATAATTCCGGTAGGAAAAAGAATTTTGGGGCAGAATTCTAGCAAAAAAAAAAAACAGAAATTAGAATCGATTGAGTACAGTTTGGTACCTTTAAAGAATTCATCTTCAAGACGTTAGACGCCTTGGATTTGAAAGCTGAAACTGAAAAACTGGGTAGAAAGCAAATACATAACGAGACAACTTGCGTTTCCTTACAATTTCGCAAATACAGCCATAAATTAAATGTAAAAAATCACTATGATCACTACAATCTTTAACCTGGCAGTTGAATGTTTACCTCAGCTCCGCGATACACATAACCTTCCTTATTCACGAGATCTCCTGAGTGTTTGTTGTGGTGTTCATAAGTAGCGTTATTCAGGTCACATTTGTGTTTTCCATCTGTGTCTGCTATCTTTTTAAAATTATAACTGACACAGTTTGGCTCCAGGTAGCATTTCAGTTGGCATATATCCTCATTGATGAGGTCAATGGTTCGTATCATGTGATTATTCAGTCGGTGACCATGGATTGGATCATTGGTGAATCGCAAATTACGACAGTGACCTGAAGAACGAAAATTTTGACATGCCTTTATATAAACATTTAAAATAATTTCTATCAAAGTAAATGAAAAATAAAAGACAGTTACTATGAGATGAAAAATGGAGTCTAACCTCTGTAAAATGTGTCATAGTTTTGTTTTTCTGTTCTAGTAAACACGGGATGTTTATATTATAAAAAATAAGCAGGAACCAAGTTATTCATCGCAAAAAAACCCTTCAACTTTTCATGTCGTTGGGCTTGAGTTGAGTTTTCCCATGAACCATGAGGTTATTACATGGCATGGCGCAATTAATAGCTGAAAAAAACCTCTGAATAAAACGTCAAGGCTCGAAGTAAAAATACAAAATAATGTTTCTCAGGAGGCTTTCAACCAAAACCTGTTCTTTTCAGGAAAAACAAAACGTGCAACTTTTGTTTTGGCAAAGCGATGCAAGAGTAACGGAGACAAGTTCGACACAATTTCTTTTACAGTCAAACCGCATGTTCCTTTTGATGGCAACCTTTTAAACTTCCGCCGCAACATTGGTAATCTGATTGACAGTTTGAGTGGAGCAAGATGTAACCCGCGCGAGAACGCTGTTCAGTTCATTTCGTAGCTCTTTGTTGCAACTTGTCGTGGTTTCCAAAACGTTTCAAGTACTGCTGCAAGATTTTGAGGATTAATCATAACAATTAAAATTTCCACAAAATTTAATGTGATTGGAACATAAAGTGCTGTATTTTGCTCTAATTAATCTGCCAAGTTGTAATCGGACAGTTGGCTGAAATTGGACACCTGTAATCGGACAGTTACATGAGCCAATCATTTTAAGTCCTCTCCACTAAATTCACCAATCACAACGTTGATTACAATTGTTATAGTAACCAAATCAAGAGACTGACTTTGTAAAATTTCAATGTTCGCGGCAAATGTAATTAATTCAATCTGTTGTATAACATAAATGCGTGTATTTTCACTGGAACTTTATGTAATTAAAAAACGAATGTAATTACTGTAATTAAAAAAAAAATTGATAATTTTGTTCGTGTAAACAGCCTAAAAAGTATGATATTTACTAAGAAATATCACTTGAAATTGGAATGAATGATTATCAACAGCAAGCCCTGCATCTGAGTTGGCGACGGCTATATCTTATCAATTCAGATTGTAAACAAACTTGAAGTCTTTGACCAGTACTTCTCGCGACTATGGCAACGATATCGATGCCTCTTTCAAGTTAAAACTTCTTTTCAGCACAAACGAAGGGTCACTCTCCTTTACCTTATAATGGACACGTAGGTAAATATCTGATCCGCGAGGCGAAGCTTCTCTGAAAGTTTCCAATACATGTAAATTCTCATTCCTATCAATATTTTTAAATGTTTCCAACGATGATACCACTACTTTTGTGCCTCGTTTACGCTTTTAAAGGCTAGCATTAAGTCCATTAAAGTGGGTATTTATTTGCTCCAACAAGTTGTCAAGGAAGGGAAGAAATATTGCCCGTCGAATGTAGGCGACTGGTGTCCTGGCATTGGTGTTGTTTCTTAATATCTGTCCACCACAAGTTCGAGGGATGCTTACCTTGAAGTTTGCCTTCTTAGCCATCTTCTTGATCTTTTCATACACAGAACTTGCAAATGATGTTTTAGCATTCTTGCGCATACCTTTCAGCTGTTCCTTCACAACGTTAACATGCTTGTTGCCTCAATAACATCCAAAGTTCTGGTTAAAAGCCTGGTATTTTAGCTTTTATAGACTAGAAACTCGGTCAAGTGCAGGAAAGTAGAGAAGTAAATAGTTGTTTTTTCGTATTGGCTCAGTTCAGTCAATCGTCTTTGAATGTTAATTTACACCTGCTTTAAATAGATGGCTTTCACATGAACATGCAAATTTGTTTAACAATTGTTGCACTAGACTCACTTTCTCAAAACAAAATTAAAAACTTCATGACGTTTCCTCAAACAAAGCTAGACGGCTTAAACTAAAAGTCATTTCGCATTAAAGGCCAATACATTTATATTTAAAGGAGTTCAGTCACGGTATTTTGAGTTATTTTGGCCACATACAAAATTACCTTTCAATGGTAGGAAACCTGAAAATAACAGTTTAATANAATATGCGCAAACCGTGACTGAGCCCCTTTAAGCAGGATTTTTCTGAAGTGTTTTCCTTTGTGAATAAGTTGATCGCCTACTCGAGCTTTCCGTGTCTCAACTCTCCACATTATTTCGTTCCGAAAAAGATCCAGTTTTAATTTCAGACAACAAGCTTAGTTTATTCGATCATATAGTTGCTTGATTCAGTCACACTGTATATCTGTCATCAGTTGCGCCTGTTTTTCTATTCCAGTCAAGCCGAGGTCGGAAAAAACTTAAAAAATCATGAATAATGAATCAATAAAGGTCTCGAAAAGCTTCAGTGCCACTCTAAGTTTCCAGTGTAGTAAACACACTTCAAAATATTTCGTTTTGAAATAGTTTAAAGTAACAGACCATCTCCTAGTTGTATAAAATAAATATGGACGAAACTCCGATTAACTCTTAATATTATGCGGTAAAGTCACACTATTATGCTCGAGTTCAAAGAGAATTTCATCACACGTTTGGTTAACTCAAACCGTCCAAACCAGCACTCTCTCTCTCTTTTGCCATTTTTTTTAGCTAACTTTACTGGTGCCTCATACACCTACCCGAGATGCCTCAATACTGGCGTTTTCCAGATATTTAAATCTGAAGCGCGATCTATAATGTTTTGAAGTTTTGGCCTCTGCGGTGGTACGGTAGCGCCAAATCTCATACTATGAGTCTCAGCTGAATATCTTTCGATCGGCTCTTCCAAGAGAATGATCATTAATCCACTTGTACGGTGTCTGCATAGGAAAGCAGTCACTAGATTTACGGGGTTAGTCGGTATGACAAAAGTTAACGTTTTATTCTGCAGCGAAGTAAATTATAATTAAGTTTAAAACTTCATCTCAGCACTGTATGTAATGTGACCTATTACATAAAATGTGGTTGGCCTAATTCTACGCAAGCCGTTAAGTTCACGTTTTAAGAACTTTTTCCAAATTTGAGTCAAGTATCCTAAACGAAACTTAAAGAAAAAAACAGAAAAAGAGTTATATGGAGTTGTAATTTCAGAGGCCAAAACTTCGAAAAATTATTCAGCTTAGATTTATATTTTTGGAAAACGCCGGTATTGAAGGCGTTCGAGTAAGTACATGTGACACAGCTGAAGTTAGAAACAAAATTGGGAAAACAGAGAGAATGTGCTGGTTCGGACGGTTTGAGTTAAACACACGTGTGATGAAGTTCTCTTTGAACTCGAGCATAATTTGCGTCAACTTGCTGTATAACATGAAAAATTAATCGCGGTTTTCGATTATATTTCCTATTATTAAACTCGGAGTCGGCCTGTTACTTTAAAATGTTTCAAAATGAAATGTTTTGATGTGTTTACTAAACTGCAGCTGGAAATTTTATTTCTTATTCATAGTGCTTAACCAAACTTTGAGGCCATCTTGAATGTTTTTGCGACCTCGCCTTCACTAACAAAGAGAAAAAGCCAGCTGAAGACCTATATACAGTGCCATTGAATCAAGCAGCTATACGATCGAATAAGCCAAGGTTGTTATCTGAAATTAATAAAGGATCTTTTTTAGAACAAAACAATGTTGGTCAGGCTAATAATTTAAAGCGGAGACACGGAAACCTCGAGCGGGTGACCAATTTATATACAAAACAAACGGTTCAGAGAAATCCTACTTAAATATAAATGTATTGGCTTTGCATGTTCATGTCAAAGCCGCCTGTTAAAATAAGGTGTGAGTTAAGTTATAAAACCTCCTCTCAGCGATGTATTTAATGAGAATTATTGCATGTAATGTGGTCGGTCTAATTCTACGCAAAACGTTGAGTTCACGTTTTAACAACTTTCTCCAAATTTCAGTTTAGTTTTCATAACAAAACGAAAAAAATTCTACGAAAATAAACTGGTTGTTACCAAAGCTTAGTGTTAAGAACTAGAATATCATTCGCGTACTAATTCAGAATTAATGTTTCATTTTGTGCAAATGAAAGATTAATTTGCAGAGTATTTTTGCAAATGACAGTTTAATATTTCAGAAAAAAAATACCATACTTCTTTTCTCCAATCTTGCTTATTTTCGAACAACAGAATTGGCCATTAAACAGACCTGAAAACTGTGATTACTTATTATGAGGCAGCAGTCATTTCAAGTTTCGCTTCTTCACGAGCCTTCCTTCAGGCTGTCAAGAATGTTAACAAAATAATCTTGCTTGCTTCCCGTTTAGTCTAACTATCATATTTCCCGGCACAATATACAGATTTTTTTCGCCTCCGAAAATTTTATCAAAAATCTGAATTGATGTTTGCTCAGAAGAAAACTTTTGATCTCGAACCTTTGTTTTCATAAAGAAAGAACTCTCACGTTTTAAGTTATCTTATTCGTACATCACAGTTTTTTCCCTGAAGCCACACACCTCTTCAGAACTTTATGAACATATAACTTCAGAGGCAAAAACTTCGAAAAAAATTTTAGCTTTAGTTTTGCATTTTTTTGTGTGTGTGAAACTAGAAACAAAATTGGAAAAACAGAGAGAATGTGCAAATTGATTTTTAGTTTAAGTCTTCTTTGACCGAGGATAAGTCATGAAGTTTTTAATTTTGTTTTGATAGAGTCTAGTACGACAGTTGTTAAACACATTTGGATCTGCTTGTGCCAATCTTTTAAAAAACTTTATACATTATTAATAAATTTTTAAGTTCTTAACCAAAATTCCATCATTGAAGTTTTTCCGACCTTAGCTTGACTGCCAAAGAAAAACGGACGCAACTGCTGACAAACATACAGTGCAACTGAATCAAGCAGCTATACAATCGAAAAGACCAAATACTTGTTATCTGAAATTAAAATTGGATCTTTTTCGGAACGAAATCATGTTGGCCGGGCTAATAACTGGAATTTGAGACACGGAAAGGTTGAGAAGCTGACGAGTTAATGCACAAAGGAAAACACTTCAGAAAAATCCTGCCTAAACGTAAATGTTTTGGTCTTAAATCCGGAATTATTTTCAGCTTAAGTCTTCTTTTATTGAGGATAAGTCACGAGGTTTCTAATTTTGTTTTGAGAAAGTGAGTCTAGTACGAGTTGTTAAACAAATTTGCATGTTCATGTCAGAACCACCTGTTTAAATTAGGTGTAAGTTAAGTTATAAAACTTCCTCTCAGCGGGGTATTCAATGTGCCTTATTGCATGTAATGTGTTCGGGCTAATTCCTTTGAGTTTATTTTAAGAAACTGTTTAGGAAATTCTATGTAAATATTTAGTTGTTACTTCAACTTTGTTTTAAGAAAGCATGATTCGCGCACTAATTCATTCACTTTTCATTGTTCTCAAATTCTAGAGCAATTTGCAGAGTGCTTTTTGAAAAGAAAGCTATCTCAAAAAAAAAATCCACGTATACATGTATTTTATTTCTCCGATCGCGGTTTTTCTTAAACAAGAGAATCGCCATTAAACAGCTGACCTGCAAATTTGTGCTTATTAAGAAACAGCAATCATTTTAAGTTTGGCTTCTTAACGAATTTTTTTCAGGTTGACAAAGGAAAACATCGAAGAATTGTCTCAGTTGCTTGCTTCCTGTGTTGTGTGCACTATCATATTCCCCGGCGCAATGTAAGGATTCTTTTCCTTTTTGAAAGACTTAACACTACTAGTTTAATGAGTTCAACATACAAAGTTGTCCATGTTTGGCAGGTCTACACATCTCAAGGAAATGGTTTGGCAAGGTACGAAAAATGACGGTGCAGTCTTCTCACTCGAACAAACGACCGAGCGCGGATATTCAAAATTCACTGCTCAGTCTGTCAGAAAAACGAAAATAAGCTGGCCGCTAGTTATTTGGAAAAATAAAACTTTCATGTCAGTTCCCTTTTTGACTCCCAAATTTGGCATTCAGTCAGGACTGTAGTTTATGTAGTTTCTTGGCCAGCAACTATTCCATTTTCCAAAAATGTTGTAACAAAAATACATACTGGTTATCGCAGTTACTTTTCACCGGCATACTATGAATTTTTTTAGAAATCTTGAAAGCAGGATAAGCGCTCATTAGTTTTTACTAGTTTTAACGATTATGTGCCTACTGTTAAGAAATTTTTCAAGACGAATTCGACTGAAGTCCAAATATTAACGACAAAATGTAACGGCTCTTGTGAAAAGAAGTATTCGCGTTATTCAATTATATAAACCACGACAATAAAAATATTGCTGGTCCATCTTTCAAAACGTACTATACTCATGGGCAAAAATCATGATAAAAACAATAAAGGTAGAATATTTCCAAACAGTGAATGAAGAAAAGTTTACCTTGTGCATCCGGTAGCAGGGTAGCGAACAAGACGAAAACAAGGCCGGAAAATGCGGACAGCATTTTTACGACAAGTTTTCGAAAACTTTGT